CAAAGGAAATGTCCATTAAATTGACAAAAAAATATGTCCGCAGTGAAAGAGGGTCTTCCAAAATACTGTGAAACTGTTCACCCCGTAATGTTATCAATCATATGTGGATTCTAAAAAACTTAAAGAACTTCCGGTTAGTTGTAAATTTCGATCTCTCTCTCTGAAATTAATTCAACCAAAACTTTTGATTTTCAACCATGTATACAACCACACCCTATGTGAAATTAAAAACATCTTCAAAAAGAAATAATCCACAATGCTTTTCAATATAGAAATGGTATCATACGCTACAAATTTATTACTTTTGGATACTAAACGACATATTTTGTTCATAGTGAACAAAAAGGTAAAACATGCTACAAACAGGATCAAGTGATCTGTATCTTGGAGTTTCTTATTGACAGCATATCTGCTGAATATGCAGGTATACTTTTCAAACATTTTTCGAAATTCCTATGGGAACGAACTGTTCGCCTCTCCTTGCCGACCTCTTCTTATTTTCACATGAGTGGGAGATCCTCAGACACTTGTCAAAAACAAGAAGATAAAAAAAGCCAGATCATTTAATTTCACATTCAGATATATTGATGATGTTCTATCCATTTACAATTCAAAATTTTCTGATTGGGTTCTATAAATATATCCTCTCGAACTAGACAAAACAACAGACACGGCTTCCTCCGCCTCATGTTTAGACTTATACCTTTAGCTAGACATAAGCGGTCATCTCAGTACCAGAATCTATAACAAACGAGACGAATGTAATTTTGAAAATATAATTTTCTCCAACTTAGTAGCAATATACCAACATCACCTGCATATTGGATATACATTTCCTAACTCATTCGGTATTCAAGAGCTTTCAGCTGCTACTCAGACATTATAAAACATCACCAGTGTCTAAGCAGAAAGTTGACAAACCAGGGTTATGTCAAATAATGTCTCGTCCTATTTCTACAAGAGTTCATCGGAAGATACCAATACCTTGTTGATAAATATTCCGTATAACTTCACAAATAAAACATGATGGTTTTGAAGTATAGATTATAAGTCCTGACGTTGTTTATCATCTTAATTACGTGGTATAGTGTTCTTTAATTTGTCTTTATAAATTATGAACATTTACTGTTTAGTCCATTTTTTGGTAATATCCTTTTGGCGTGGTTCGGTACTTATGCATCCCGCAAATGTCTTGTTTTGCAGTTGTCATTTTTTTTGTATTCTTGTCTTTCATTTTTGCTGGTGTTCTTTGTCTATATGCCACTTTGGTTTTTTTGTTGTTGACATATTTGTGTGTTGTTATAGTGATTAAGATTATAACACAATGTTGACTGCTGTACCCCTATTTTTGACATTTTTACCTACTATGTCGGTTTTTTGTTGTTGTTTTTTTGTTGGATTTTTTTTCACACATTGTTGTCAATATAATGTCATACATGTGAGAGGTTTAGCAAGCTATGAAGGCCGTACCTTGACCTATAATGGTTTACTTTTATAAATTGTAACTTGGATGGAGAGTTGTCTCATTGGCACTCATACCACATCTTCCTATATCTATGAAACCAGGTTTTAAGCCACCATTTCCTACATAAGGAAATGCCTGTTAGGAATATGACAGTTGTTTTTCATCGTTTGATGTGTTTGGGACTTTCCAATTAGAATGTTCCTTGGAGTACGGTATTTTTGTTATTTTTATCTTTATTAATATTAACTGGTATGTAAACTATTTGATTTTCAAGCAAGTGTGTTGTCTGCCATTTGGTTTAATACTATGTCAGTTCGCTAAAAAACTTAATTTAAAGTTTTAAAATGACTGATGATGTGTTAAGGGTATACAATACAGTTGAAGGGAGGTAATGACGTGCTGACAGACCTTCACATAAAAGTTGGTCATTCCTAACTGTAGAAAAAGTATGACATAGTTATGGTTCAGCACAGAGAGCAATATATGTAAAAATGACTCGTCTTGTTAAATGTTATTTAATTGAAACCTTATAATTGAAAATCCAAAGGTGAAAAATGCCATTGATATACAATACCGGAGGTATTTTTTTCTCTCTCGATTTTAGAATTTTTGCTTTCCAATGCTCTTCATATTTCTAATTTATTATGCCTTACAGCTGTTTAAAATCCAGCGGTACTGATGAGTCTTTTATTGATAAAATACGTGTCTGGGTATACACAATTATAAATCTGTTATATTTAATGCCCATGTACAACCACTGGGTTGATCCAGTGTTGGTGGACGTTTCGCACCCGTTGGTACCCCAGGCCAGTAGTCAGAACTCATGCACTGACATGAAAACGATTGACATGTCATTTTTAGTATATGCATTACTCATTCAAGCTTTTGAATTGTTCGATGCATGAACGATCTAAACCAGATTTAGAGCAACTTGTTTTAATTGTTCTTTCCATCAATGCTTTTAAAAATCTTCCTGGATTCACCATCAATTTGAATGCAATTGCATCTATTTCTTTTTTATATAATGTGATGTGTTTGGAATATCACAACCAATATTTATCTATGTATTTTTGTATGACGCTACGCTGTGTGCATACTTACGCCATCAGGACTTCATTCACACGGTATGCTTATAACACAATACTTGGCACTGAAGTTGGAGGAATAACGACTGATGTCGAAATTATATACGTTTTTGGTCATCCACACCAATGGAAATGACTTGTACGATGTATGGTCCTAAGGTACCAGAAACGTTTTCTGATTTGTTAACTGTTATTTACTATCGATACACTTTGACCTAGTCTGTATTTGCATGGGGGTGATGCATGAATAGCAAAACAGGTTTGGATCTTTTTAAATTTGACGCAATTCCATTCTTTGGATTGTATTTTCGATTTCGATTTAACTGATTTCAAAATGGGAAACCTCATATCACCTTTTATTTATCCAAGAATGTTATTTCATACAGTAACTGAAATAAGTATGGTTACATTTGTTTTTAAATGAGCGTGTATATTTCATTCAATAAACAAATCTGTATTTAAAACTATCTTCTATCTCAATTTGTGTTACATATTAGATATCGCCGATTTGTACTGCGGCGTCAAGCAAACACCATTTAATTAATATTAAATATGCATACGAACTGTGCTCGTTTTGTATGTTTCATTAACGTTTAAGCAATAGTGAAAACAATTTTTTGTCCCATTGATCGACAATTAGAAAATAGAAACAAAATGTTCGAATGAATAAAATGAGATGCAACACAGTATTTAAACGACAAAACACCACAAACATCAATATTGAGAGATGAAGTCTTCTTCTCCTCTACAGTTTTCTAATAAAGGTATAGATGGCCTACGCCGTATTTTGCACACAGTTTCGATATTTTTGGTTTTGAATGCTGTTCGACTTTGTATTTGACTTGACATGCAATCTAATTTGAATCGAGTGACTCTGATTAGTTTGAAGTATTAGTACACGTAACGCGCTTCTAAAATAACACTTTGAAAGTCTGGTATCTTGTGATATAATTGTTTGTATAATATGCCAAGCTTAACTATCACATGAATGAAACCGACCTTGCACCAAACACATTATTATTTATTTGTGGTATTTGCATTCATGACACATAGACCAGTAATTAATAGTTTATTGAAATCAGAGAAACCGATGGCAAGGATCAAGATTATCGAATACAACGGGTGCCCTAACATGCAAATTTCTAAATTAAGTCTACGCCTCTTAAGCTGTTTGTTTGATTTACACATTATGTGGTGAAGAAAATGCTTAGCACTCTTATTTATATCAGGTCATTTATTTAATACGTATCATTACGGAATGATCTGTTGAGAAAGATTATCTCTGTGGTAAAACTTATTTCTCAACCAACATGACCAACCTCAACGTCATTTGTTTTATGTTATTTAAGACTTGGGAGCTACGGTTCATTATCGTGTGTCTTCTTAAGTTGCAATAATATATGTTGTACTATAATGTTTGTGTCCACTAAAGAACAGTTTACAAATAACAAGACTAAGTAGAAGCCACACTTGTATTGCAAAATCTTATACAACATTTTAGGAGGGTTGAACCAAACTAGTCAAGTGGATATAACGTTCCTGATGAAGGTAAATCCAGAAAAGCGCTTCGGACGCATGAAATATTTAAACGTGTTGTTTTCAATTTTTTACATGTTCATTCAAAATAAGTTAATTTACTATGCAACTTTTCTTCAACAATTTTTTTGTTATCTAAATATATTGCAAAAGAATAAAAGAATATTCATTTAGTTATACTTTTCTTTCATTGTTTTCCCACCTACATTGTTGCGTCAATAGTTGTCAAAATCATGTATGACATTACGCTACTGTTTAATATGGGTGCAAAGTTTTACGATAAGATATGATACGGATATTGATAAATAAATTGAAATTCCATTCTGATCTATGCATGCTTCGCCATCATTCGAATCCAGAGTTCGAATAAGGAATAAAACCCATTTGGAGTATTGATTGTCGGCGGTTGAAACATCGTATTATTTATTCGTCATTGTGACGATTGAACTAGATTAGTTTTATTATTTCAATTGTGTTCATTTATCATGTTTATTGCTTAGATGATTAATTGAGCAGAAAACATTTAAGTCACAAAAATACTGAACTCCGAGGAAAATCCAAAACGGAAAGTCCCTAATCAAATGGCAAAATCAAAAGCTCAAACACATCAAACGAATTGACAACAACTATCATATTTCCTGACTTGGTACAGGCATTTACTTATGTAGAAACTGGTAGATTGAACCTGGTTTTATAGCGCTAAACCTCTCACTTGTACGACAGTCACATCAAATTCCATTATATTGACAAGGATGCGTGAATAAGACAAACAGACATAATAGGTAAAAATGTAAAATAGGGGTACAGCAGTCAACAAAGTGTCACAATCTTAATCACAACAAAAACGAACAAATATTTAACAAAGCAGCACAAAAAAGCATATATTACATTACATATAACACACACTACCTAATGAGGTCATAAAATGTTTTTAAAAACGTCCTTGCGAAATGATTCAATAAAACATGCAAACCCCAAGTACGAAAATGGCAAAATCTAATTTGTCACATTTGTCATATATTATAATTGAAAGTTATCAATCTGTGTCCTTTTCAACCAAATTATCATACTAATTTGCTCGATTTGATGGTATCAATCATGTAAAGATTAATTTGATATATATATAAAAAAAATATATATATATATGATATGCAAGCACTTATTGACATGTGAATTAGTATTTTCCTATTTTGTCCTGTTCTCTTTTGTGACAATTTAACACAGTGAAAATTTGCATGACTGATGAAAGATGCCTAGTAGGAAACGCTCGACCTGTCGTCGCATCCGGCCACGCTTCTTTTAATGAATGTGATTCTCTCAGTTTATAATCGTTACCTTGATTAATTTCTTTTCAATCGAATAACGAGAGTTGAACATTGGTTGACTGATTAGTGTATTAAGAAACAACACACAATCAATAGTGTGAACATTGATCCAAAGGACTTGCAAAATGCTTTTAGTTTTTGTTTTAGAAAACTTAGATGTTTTTTTTCAATTTTCAAAAACAGATAAATGTTTACTATTATTTTAAAAACGAAACAGGAAACCATGATGTCTGTATACTCCTTTTTTGTTAATATATCTTATATGCTAAAAATACATTAAACAATTTGTATGCTTTGATACTGATAGAGCTGTTACACTAAAATACATCTAAAGATCTTATACAATCTTGTTATGAACAAAAATGTGAAATTCACAAAAACAAGTCAATTTCTGTTAATAGTTAGATCTCATTTATGCAGACTATATCCGTGGTAGTTGTATGCAAATGTATACTAATCACTTGATAAGACTTATTTAAACATTGTTTGGTAAGACCTCGTAGACTCAAGCATATATTACAAATATTTACAACAATACAACTATAACTATAACTACAAAAACAGTACACTGGCTTTTATCTACACGAAGCATCATTCATGTTTGACAAAAAAAGGTCAGTTCATGACTTTACCTACTTTATTAATGATTTGATAATCTATTTGATAAAACAAACAAATTATTCTAGAACCGTGCAGTTCAATAAACGCCACCCGAATAAAGAATTATGCAAACATGAATTCACATCACTTAATTTAGTGTTAGTTAGTTTAATGAAAGATATTTTTCATTTGCTATTAAACGGTTGCACTTGTACCGCCAGAAGTCTCTCAGAAGTTTCATTAAACCTATTCGTAACTCATAGTTTCATCTTTTTTGTCTTAAACTTCATGTCAAATTCCAACGACAGTACCGAACAAGATGTATGGCTTTCATATATAATACTGATTACATTTTATCAATTTAATTCATACGAAGCGCTTTCTAGACTGACTTCGATAAATCCGCTCAAATAAAGCCAGCAACATGATTATGTAATAAAAAATGCATCCGTTCAAAGTATTAAGGTGGTTTTAATTAGCTAATTTATATATTTTGGCTCTTTTCAAATTATAAGTATTGTACAAATACGATTGTACTATACCAGATACGTATCTGGAGAAATGATATGATTTATGTGATGAGGCTAAAATATTGTCTATCAGAAACGGAAAACTCATACGACAGGTTATATGCTATAACCAAACAAGACTTATCAATTGGACAAGAAAAACAAAGCTATGCATATCATATACATTAAATCAAACACTTACACTTTCTTAGTGAAAGATGTTTTTTCTATCAAAAATTAAATGAGAATGTTAATACAAATATTTGTAATATAGTCTTTCAAAACCTGAATGACGGATGAACATAATATACCATCTTACATCATATTATTTATATTCAAAGTAAACAAACTATATACAAACAATTTAGACAGTTTCAACTTTCAGTGTTCATTCTGATCAGATTTTAAACCGAGCATGATTGGAACAAAAATATAAATGGACACCAGTTTGAATGTGACAAGAATGACATTAATTAATTTTACTTATGAACATAAAACAGATTCCTGCTTGTCCGGTTTTGGATTGTGCTTGGTACTTTAAGGTTAAATGAGCGATTCAACCATCATGTGTTGAGTCTCACTAAATATACATGGTTTCTTCCATTTATCATATGTTGCTGTACGAGTTGTACTTTTTGCATGTTATAATTATGTATTATATATTGTATACATATGACTTCAGTTATATTTATACACAACACAATTGTAGGTAAACAGAACAACAATCAAGGTACATGTTTCATTTGAACTTCGTACAACAGAGTATAGTAAAAGAATAAACGTTATCCCAAATAAAGAATTTGAAAACTTAACACAGACATACATACTGTTTCTCAATCTCTGATTGTACAAAGAATATATGTTCTGTTTTCCCATGTTCTTTATTTAACGAATACACTCGAATATACCCAGTAGTGTAAACAGCACTATATAATTATTTATTTTGTATTATAAATTTCTTAATTGTTTAATCTATACTGAATTTATTTTATGTTGAAATCTTACAAGAAGAAATACTATAGTAAATTATTTGACTTATATAGTATTGAAATATAGTAGAAACATAAAAATTAGAGGTTGGTTGATCATTTTCCTGGGTTTTTTTTCATCAAGGAGTTGTTATATTGCAATACCATATAGGCATAAACATAAAAAGTGTTTTCGCCTTCCACATTTTTATCAATTTTTATTATTTTTCAGTTATATTTTTCTGTAGAATTATTTGATAGATTTGACTTTTAATTTGATTGATATTAAAAACGGCATCTTGTGAAGTTAAGAGAGACATCTTATGATTAATATTCAGAATGTATTGAATATGAACACTAATTACTGTCCAATGTAGATACCCTTTAAATATTCCAACCCTCCAGTATGTACGCGTTCCAGAGCTAGCATTAACCTGTATATTGTAGGTTTTACTTCTCTTGAAGTTTTCCATTTTCTCAGGATGTCTTCTATCTGATTGTACATGTCCCTTGGATGCCGTGTCAATGTCTCCTCTATCGAACTTATACTAACTCCTAGCTCGATTCCGAGTTGTATGGCGCAGTTTCCAAGGTTTTTGGGCAGATCTTTCAAAACATTATCGTGTGGAACTTCTTGTAGTCGAATTTCTGCAATATCTGTCAAAATATATGCATACATTTTGATATGTTAAATTCATTGACGTTGTTATAGGAGGAATGTCGATGAACATATTTGTAGACAATACGAAACAACAAATCAGTTTCATATGATGCACTATCGCTACGATTTTTTTCATTGAATGTATTAATCAATATCAGAGGAGTAGTGACTAAAGAAGTTACTGGCAAAAACATTGACCAATGAATTAAAAGACAAAAGACAAAAATGCTAACGGACAAAGCCCCAGCTCAGGCACATACTCACTATATATATATATATATATATAATGGTATTTTCGAATTATCGTCACCATTTGAAGTTTTAGTGACAAATAAATGCCCACAAAAGTGTTTATACAGAGGTAAACCTGGAGTTGATATAATGGAATGGATTATTTATTCCATACAAATGCAAGTTACTGGCCACATGTGGAGCAGGATCTGCTTACCCTTCCGGAGCACCTGAGATCACCCCCAGTGTTTGGTGGGGTTCGTGTTGCTTAGTCTTTGGTTTTCTATGTTGTGTCATCTGTACTATTGTTTGTATGTTTGTCTTTTAATTTTTGACCATGGCGTTGTCAGCTTGTGTTCGATCTATGAGTTTGACTGTCCCTCTGGTATCTTTCTTCCCTCTTTTAAAAGCAGTGTTATTTCAAACTTCAAATACGACAAAGAAATAAAGTACACGCATGTTCAAATCTCACAGGTCGACTTATAAGAGACAAATCAAGGTAATAAATGCAAACTGAGGGAATCGCATGTACACCAAGTGTAGCAAACTGGGTACGACAATAGGGTAAACGTCTCCTGCTATGCATGCATCAGTCCTCATGCAAACCGGCAAGAAGTCATGATGGCGACGGTATAACTAATAAATGGATACTTTCAGTCACTCCTCCTGTAAACATTAGCACGTTCTATAACTATAAATTGATCCATCTTAATTTAATGCAAATCGTCTTGTCACTATTATGGTACATTGACAATACCACAAGTATTACGTTTACAGTTTATCAAAATGAATAATTTTATAGAGAGGTGTATTTCTGATATTGATATAAAAGAGAAAATATCAACGTTATTCGAAGAGAGAGAACTGAAACAGCTCGTATTATTAAAAAAAAAGAAAATAAACATTAAATTTAGTTTGATAGTCATCGCACTAACCATAAAAGCTGAAAATATAACATAGCTTGTTTTAATGGGAGACGAATCGCCTATATGCATTAATTCAGATTTGAAAAAAAACAATCATCAGCATATGTTCTGCTTTTTTAGTTTCAATTTGCATGGACACAGTTAGGCTGTGCACAAAAAAAATGTTGATTTCCTAAGATAAAATTCTCAACTTTATTGAGCAATTATGTTAAGAAACAATTATCTTTCCAGTTAAAATATACAATACCTTTTTATGTCAAATCTATGAATAGTTATGTCTAAATCAGTTCCGCGTTGTAAGATACATACGTTTTATGGTCACCATAAAACATTGGATGATCGATACGTTATGTATTCAGCTATTTGTCTCAAATCTATAGCTTAGATCTTTAGATACCAAAATGTTTGTTAGATCAATAACATGCAGAGTGCCTCCCGGTTTTGATACAATAAAAAGTATTACCCTTCAACTTATTGGATTTAGGATAAAATAATTGTGATGAAGAAAGAGAACTAGAGAAACACGTGTGTAGTGTAACTATTACTTTGCCGGGACTTAAACTGATACTCATGAGAAGCTGTTTTAATGCAGTGACTAAGAATTTTCCAACGAGGAATATTCATGCATTGTAAATATTTTGGGCTTGATTGTTCATGATGAAAGTCAATCCAGACATGCACTTGACATGCTCAAAATTTATGAAGTGCTATTTTCATTCGTTAGACTAATTAATAAGTCAGACCAGCAAACAAGTAGACAGCTGTGCTTTCAATAGGATCAGAGAAGCAACAATGTGTTAATATGGCAGGGTTTAACAAAGGGACAGTGGTATCAGTTTATTACCTCCTGACATACTTGTGTTATCATTAAAAGTGTCACTCTTCCACACATCAACATATATTTTAAATAAAATTTTATAAAACTAGTCTTTGATCTTACTGAAATAGTTTACTATATACATAGTGTGTTAAGCATTGGGAATATTGAACGTACTATCAGTAAACAAATACATGCACATTTATTACCCCTTTGTATTCAGGTAATCGTCATATTACTCATGTTGTTACGACCAGAAGAAAATTTGAATAAAAGATACAATCAATACACATTAAACTTAACTATCAGTATGTCATAACGAATCTAGCACATCCGTTTATTCAATATAAAGCTAATTTGGACTGTTGTGGAATATAAATTATATAAGCATTTCCTGATGTAGGAAATGGTGGATTATAATATGACGTGCTTCTTTCGCTTTGAAAACAACACCGTGATAAAATTCTCGATATACCTATACTGATCGCAGACTCAGAAATGTGCATATTGGTGGCAGTTATTATTTACCTCCCACGTAAATACACATGTTTCGAAACCTATGTGCAAACACTATGTTAATCTCGTTGTGTTCAATTTGAAATTGAAAAAAAAAACAACAACAACAGAACCGTTATTCCTTTTCTAATGCATAACACAAAGAATCAATGCACAAGAGCTTAAAAAATGTATAAAATCAAAATAAAATAAAATTCCGCGAAATTTCATGATTGATCTCGGCACATTTACGTCATGTCATAACATGACGTCATACGAATGAAAACTTTCAAGCTGAAGGTTTTCCGTTACGTATACGCCATAAGTTCGGATAATATTGCATTAAAATAGAGCTTCGAAGTAGGTGTTGTTTCACTTTCGGTTCTATTGCATTATTCGCACATTTGTGGATTTCAGCAAGCCAAAATGGCGGCTCACTCATTTGTTACGACATGTCAACTCTTGATTTGACAATAAATAGTAGCTATAGAAAACAAAATGTTTGGTTATGAATTATGAGAATTAAACACATTTTTGCTAGATGTTATTTGAGAAATAATTCATGTAAGACTTAGGTTTATTTGAAATTTGTATCTTTTTTAGCTCAGGATAAAATTCGAATATCACGGCTCTGGCCATTTGTAAATGTCCAACAAATCTATGGCTTCCATGAATTATTTCTTAATTAAAACTGGTTTTATAGCTAGCTAAACTTCTCATTTGTATGAAAACAACAATAACGTCACAAACCCGCAAATAAGCATGTAAATACTTTTGCATCCGTGTCCGTTATTGTCTTCACATATAAAGCTCCGGTAAAAGCTGCACCTGTGTCGTAAAATTTCCGGTCTCGTAATCCTCAGCTGTGTTCTGGTATGCCTTTGTAAACAATGTCTGTTATTTAACTTTTTTTTCAATAGTTAGTATTGCAATTGTTCATACATGCATTGATTCCTATTGAATAAAGTGTCAAGAACTATTCAATCTCTGTCTCCTTAAATTGATGTGTGGAAAAGTATTTCAAAAGAACTGTCAATGTTGAAGGCTGGGTGATAGTTCTACTGATTGGTCCTGATAACAAGTTCTCACCATTGAATGGACAGCGGTTTATCCTTACACATGCAAGTTTTGCTTACTTTATATTTACATGCTTTCACGTCAAATTCACCTCAAACGAGTCTATTCGTTAACCTTACAAGAATACTTTCACATGAATTTCACGTGATTTGAGTACTCTACAAAACAATGGAATTTCAGTTTTTTTAATCAAATTTGAAAATTGGATGTTATTTGAATAACGAATTTAACGTGAACAATTTGATGTGATTTCTAAATGAAATTCACGTGAGCTTCACATTAGAGTCACATCAGATTCATATTAGATTCACGTGAATTTCACATGATATTCACATGAATCTAAGTTCACATGAGTAGACTTTCTCTGTGTATCATTTAATAACTTGGTCCTTGGTAGTTTACAATAGTAGTTCGCGCCTATTAGTGAGTCAATTTCACAACTTTTGCTTTTTGCACAGAATGTGCAACTTGAAGTGCTTGTAATATGCGAAATTTTATCTGAATCGGGACTGCAACCTGTGTAACAATGGATGTGTTGATACGGGAATATTCTCATTGTCGGTCTGTAGTTGAAGTGTTTAAATGTTTAAGTTTGGAACATTGTGAGATAAATCCTCGAAAACAGACAGATATATGCAGAACCGTCGTTCATATTTCCAATAACCGCGTATTTCTGAAAAAAATCATTATACATCCTCGTCAAACAAGCTGTTAGATTCTACGTTATAATCGTTATACATAAATGGTGCAATATATATTTTAAGGAGCATTTTGTGACTTTGATTTGATGAATACATCAACACTTGCCTTGTCTGCGTTAATTGCACCTGTGTCGTACCTGTAATGCACTGAAATGGCATCTATTATTGTACACATGCGTGATGCATTCCGCTACACTTTGCATCGTATTATAAAATTACATACGGGCAATCGGTGTGACTCTTCATTAGTGCACTCTGCCGGAAAGTGTTAATCTAAAGAAAAAAATACACGTATGTGTATTTACTTTCTGTCATTCTTACGTGTTTCTGTATATTTGACCTTGTTGTATGATCTTTATTTTGGTTGCGTTTCAGTGAAAGATGTAGTGGCGTGCTATCTTGCCTGACTACTTGACGCATTGTCCTGCTTCGAGTAATTCAATCTCCAAACATCGCCAAAACCAATAAGATAAAAGGAGAACTCTTTCTATCAAATAAAAGATATCCTGGTATCTGAAAATCCAAGACTTCGAAATATTGTCTCTAGTGATTTGAGACACAGACATATGGGATTAACCAAGCAATTCCTGATGGTGACCGCAAAAAGTATATAGTACACATCATAGAACTAATTTAGATATGATTATTATAAATTCGATAACAACAAAATAGGATTTTTTTTATCACGCATAAATGGCTACCTGTTTCTTAACATAATGGCTCGATTCAGCTCTGACTTTTTTGTGGACAAAAAGTACCCTAGGTATTATATCACGTTTGTTTAAACAACCTATCTGTAATGCAAATTTAAATTAAAAGAGTGAAAGATATAATGATCAAACTTTTTGCTTTCATCTGTAAAATGTTAAATCCTAATTCATACATAAGTATAGACTCGTCTGCTATTACAGCTATATTCTCAACTTTTATATGAATGGTGTTTTAAACTAAGTATCAAACTTAATATAATGTTGCTTTTTTTGTATATGCATAGCAAAATGGTAGATTCGTCAAAGTGGTTCCACCGAAATAAAGGACGGAACTGTCACGTGAAAAAGACGAGATGGATAGGAGTAGATATATGGACTTGAAACAGGTCACTAACGAACACCTTACAAAGTTGTTGCAAGGCTTCTGTAGGCATAAAAAAAGGTATGTTTTACCCTCCAGTCAAGCATTGGGACTGAATGGAGAGACTGACAAGGGACTATGCGTATTGTATTATAAAACACATACAAAGAGATAATTGTGTTAACAATGCTTAATCTTACCTAATAAATGCGTGTCTTCTCTGAACACCTGAAAGGAAATGTATCGATACAGTTATTGGGTTAGTACAAAAACATGCGTGTATGATAATAAATCTGTTATGCACACTAAATATCATAATTACGACATGCAACCAAAACTATAAACTATATGTGTACCTGAACAAATATTGTGAGAACTAATTGCCTTTTTCCATACTTTAATTGCAGTTAAATATAGATCCTTAATAATACTTTTTTAACGTTTTTGATCTGAGCCTCACTGGTAAGTCTTTTGTAGAGGAAACGCGCATCTGGGGAACAACATTTTATCCTGCTATCTTTGATGAGTTTATTAGAAAAAATGCATTGCTGTTATAACCGATAATAGGTTCATTTAAGTTGTTGTTAAGTGCACCATCTTTGTTGTACATGCGTCAAGGAACCGTTCTTTCATAAATTGTATCTTACTCTGCAATCAGTTTTTGATTGAAGATGGTAAATTGATGAGATCATAGTTGTTATATAATTCCTGGTTTTATTGTTTTGATGACCTGTAGCAGACAGTCTGAATGACCGTTGCATTTAATGTATGATGCAGCTGTGTTTTTATTTTAATCATTTCTCATTCCAAGATGTATATTTCATTTCTTTGTTTGTTTATATCCTGTCCCTGTAGTTGTGTGGTCAAACATGAATGATCCTTTGATGTGTGTAAGAATGTGTTTAAAGGCTGATGTCGAAGAATGATAAAAAAATGAGAATGTTGACATCCAGATAGGAGGAATGAATAAGCGTAGAGAACAGACGTGTTTTTGTATAAATATGTTATAATAGTATTGTAAATATATATGGACTTGTATATAATAAATATACATACATTATGTTACATGATCATAGTTGTAAACATGTTTTTATTTCTCTCTTGATTATATTAACCACAAAACGAAAATATAATTATAATTAATTCTACAACAATCATCCACTAAGTTAATGATGATGGGTAATTTGTAACATGTCTTACATTTGTAAAATAAATATGCCTTATCAAAACGAAAATTGACTCAGAGGAACGAAACAAAATTTGTGTCCCAATCTCGCCAATGACCATCTGAAAGAGTGGTGCATATTAATTTGGGAAATCATTCTATATAGATCTGAAACGATTCAACGCCTAACAGAAATAAAAGGAATAGAAAAACATGGTAGTAAAAACTGTCAACACAGTATGATAAACATAGATGTACTTATTGAAAAAACTAGAAAACAAAATAAAAGCTGTCCAAACCTTGCAAAGCAAATGTCTTTCATCGCCCACTGCCTTAAGTGCATCCAGCAAGTCGTGGAATGACTTTGTGGGTTTACCCCTTATGCTTTTTGTTCTCCAGAAATTGAATGCCATGATTTTGATGACAAGAGGCATCCTTGTGTAACTGTAATCAATATCATTCCAATCATTCAGTTGTAACCCTAGATGAATCATCACCTCTCTACAACTATTAATATCTAGGTGATATGCAAGTCGTGAGAGATGTTGCTCGCTTGGTGACATTGTCAGGGCAGTGTTTCCAAGACCTGAATATTTTGAAAAGATGAAACAAGCTCATAAAAAAATAATCATCATGAGAATAAAATGAAAAATAATAATTCTGATTGCTATCGAACAATAAATAATAAGACCTCAATAAAAAAAAAAAACATGTTTTGCATAGCTAACAACAGTCATGAAACGATTTGAGATAAGACATATTATGTTCCTCCTAATGTTGTAAAGCCTCAATAGACTAAATAGCCACGCCCCCGTTAAAATAGCCGAACCCCTGTTAAATACTGTAATCTTCGTCTCCCCACGTCTTAGTAAGGAAAAACATCGTTAAGCAGATTAACTGATAACCATTGATTCAACTATATTTATATTAAGTCCAACAGAATTGATATTTATAACTAAAATTCGATACAATAAAATATTACACGGAGACAACATTACTCAAATTCAACATAAGTAAATTAAGACATTAAGGATTTTTTTCTTGTATGTACGATTTTTAAAATGGTTACTTGCTCTTAACATGAATAACATATCATGTGTAGGTCTTAACTATTCGTGTAAAACGTCGCTTAGACATCTTTGTGGCGTATCCTTATGGAAGCTAACAGGGCAGTGATTGAGCATGCAGGTCTTATTTGGATACATTGTGAATACCTTACAAAGTCCAACACCAAAACATTTCTATGACAACTGACATCCTCATGTGTTTACCCGTGCGTTTTCTTTTTCTTCTTCTTCCAAAACTACAGTTGACTTAGCACGTTTCAAATATCGCTATGGCTATATCGTTCATGACCAGTCCGTATAATTTCCCAAGAAAAACCTAAGGAAACCCCAAAATACCCTAAACAACTTTTATCTAATAGACTTACAAATTCAATGTATTGGAAAATATACTATACGGGTTTTAGTTTGAAATGTCAGGGTTGTCCAAGATATTCGTCCGTCTTTCTAAGTTTCGACTTATGTCCTGGTTCGTTAATACAATAAAACCAGATTTGTGGTTATTTGCCATGTCATTAATAAATAAATGATGTGATATCGCCAATGTACATACATGTACACGGAGCTAATTTACTGTGGATTTAAGCAAATTGGATCGATAACTTTTTGAAAATTACCCGGGCTTAAATAAGTTCAGTTGCAATTTGCCATACCTCACTGTTAAGCAATACAGAATGTTTTGGCGAATCTAAAAAACACCTTTTTGAAGAAAAAACAAAACTCATTTAAAACCAAGGATTGTGATAAAGTACTTCGTGTAACCTTTACATTGGCCAACATTTATGAAAAAAAAAATTCTGTAGACACTCCTTTCACCTAAAAAAAACCACGTTAAAACCTGTTCGTAGTATTGTAATTGCCTTCAATCTGGCATAAGTCTTTAAAATCTTTGCTGCTCACGCTAGGTTAGAGAATTACACGTACGCTGATATGAACGATTTCCAAAATTTTGGAGTGTTCCTATCCAACAGTTATTATATATATATAAGATTAACAGTTTGTTTTGCAATCACAGAACCGCTAGATATTTCTCAATGTTTTAATATTGATTTCAAAGTTTTTTCCATTATTTTGTTTTCCAATTTTTCGAAAAGACATTTTTTTAAAAGCGATGATTGCTTCTGAAAATGCATTTTACATTTTTATAGATTCAGAAAAAAAGTGGTTTCTGATAATGTGTGATTTGTATATCTGTGGTCACCAGAAATCGATTCGACATGTTCGATACTGCATGTGAATTTTTTTTGCAAATCAGAAAGAGAAAAACATGTCTATGCAATATACAAAATATTTGATATCCAAAATTTATTTGTCAATTTTCACAAAAATAATATACCTACTCTTCGTTTCATGCACAACGACTGTGTAAAATTGAATAAGTGTCATATCCATAATCTTGATTTGCTTTTAGAAGATAAAAAAAATAATCTAAAACTTGTTTCCACTCTTTTGCGGATATTGATTGAGTCAGATGACAAATCTAAGTGTCCGAAAAATCATTCATAAGACAACACTATTGGTTCAATGGTTCATTTATATATCCAACAGAACATCCTTGGAATAAGAACAAGAAGAAGGATGCCAATATTGGAGCATGATTTGCAGATATAACCGGAAAAGTTAAGTTATACAATGTACTCCACCAGTTTGTTTTAAATGTTTCTTGCTGCTACTTTTGTTTGTTTTCGGTTACTGTTGTTTGTAATTTGACTAGATGTCTATATACTTTGATTTATAATATTTGATTTACCCTCAGACTTTTAGGAGAATTTGCCATACATTCACCATAGCTGGGTATCATAAATTATACACCTTAAATGGATCCTAATTATGTATTATAAATGATGAACTGAAATAAATTTACCTGGACAATTGGATGGGCATTCTTCCTGTGTCTGAAAAACATTTATTAAATAATGAAACAGGGTTTCTCATGATCTATATTACAATATAATTCGATGTATCATTACCTAAGACAACATCACAATTTTTAATTGCCTTCGTTTCGTATCTTTTATCTTCTGTTTGTTTTTCCCTTTACATTTAAGATAAGTGACGAAGTTAAATAAAATGTTAGTTGGATACAGTCTTAATTTTACTGAACATAAAATATACTCTACAGAATCATATTATTGGTATGCCATACGGGCGTTTTTTCTTCTATATGCGGCTCATCAGTTGCACTCGAATCATCATAGTTGGAGATTCAGTACTAAGTTTAAGCGCACGGAACATAGATAATTTCAAATCATTGGTGCCAACTACGTCTAAAATAATACGTAAACAATGTTTGATACTTTGAGATAGAAAATATTTCATGCTATGAATAGTTCAATTGAAAACATCCTTCGTCGGTTTATATGGCTAACGTATATGGGATACCTTGTTAAAAAACCACAGTAAAGATCTTCTGGAGCAGTGTTTATTCCCACGCTCACACACCCAGTAGGAGGTTTGTTTCGCCTTTGAAATGGATATCACGCATGGAGATCTGCCACAAACCTCTCCTACTTCAATGCTAAAGAGATTTGTCAAATTCACTTTTTTCTGGTTCTTTCCAATGCTGATAAGATAAAATTTCAAAACAGCTTGTAAAGTCACGGTCAGGCATTCTTGAATGCTGGCAGCAATATCTGGGGAGATGTAAGATCTAGAAGATATGTTCGTAAGATAGACAACGACTCTCGTTTCTTCTACCATTATTCTAAACTCGGTGTTGCTGTCAACACATAGTACGGCTGATGAATGATATATTAATGGACGTCCGTTGACCTCCTTGATAGGCCAAATACCACTAACCGCACCAACCAGTTTAAAAGACAATGCTGATGGTATGGATGACTTCTGTATTTGATAGACCAACGCAATTGTCCTGTTTGCAAATGATTTGTCATCTAGAAAGGACATCGGCATCTTGTGTTTTACAGTGCATGGAACTAAGAAATAATCGACGAGCGTGACACTCTTGTCAACGTATTGTTTCGGTAGGACCAAAACATCGAGATGCACTAGAACCTGGATAATGAACTCTTTGGAGTCATCCTCTTGTATATGATGAACGAATGGTTCCTGTTGCCATAGTTGAAGGAGATCTCTTTTATGTAATTTTCCAGTTTCTCTCATTCTTCTTAGAATACCTTTAAGGGTCTCATTCTTGGGCCAAAATATTTCATCTGTGATGAATGATCGAAGGATGTTGACCAATGCAGGAGGATAAAGAATGACAAAATTGTTAAGTTCTGGTTGATTAAAGTACATTATTTTGCCTAAAGAATGTTGTGTTAAGAGAAAATCTTCCAGTTGTCTTTCTGACAGGGCTAGGTCTTTGTTCATTGTGTTTGCTTCAGCTAACTGTATTTTCGGTATTATATGGATGTTATCTTTGATCATATTATCAATCAGAAGCTCAAGGGGAACCCAAAGCATCGGTCGCCGTAGTCCCCAAGATGGCTGGTTCCGGGCAATAGTGACAAGTTGGTTTTTTAAATTCTGAATTCCATGATCGTCTTTGTCTGTACCATTTATAAAGAAAACTGGTTCGAAGACAATGTGTTTCTTCATTTCATGGGTACCAAACATTTCAGTGATTTTCTTTACAAATTTCATGTTCATCTTCTTCTGCATATCCTTGTGAGTAAATGATACAGAAAAAAAAACGATTAAAAAAACAACAACTGTATCCTATCGATACTTATATTTTGGCATTGCACAAGAAGCCTGTATACCACATACCTTTTATGTGTAACAATTGCTTATTTGGTTTTAGATACATGATATATTATACAATAAGCTGTTATTGGTTAACTACTCTGTTATTTGACTTGATAAGATGAAAACAGCCTGTGCTATATACAAATGTTAATTCGGCCAATATTGATTTTTTTTCCGTATTGGCCGAGTTCTGATCCGGGCAATTCAGGATTTCACAATGTGCCTGTTTTTTTTTTTTATAGAAAGTCATGATGAACACCAACGTAATGTAAAGTGTTATTTGGAAGAAGCTGTTTTATTTACACAATAAACATACCGAAACGTTTAGTGAGGCAACCATTTAAAGCTGAAGACGGTCACATTCATCTAAAAGGCTTTTTGTAAGCAAATAATTTACCTATTTCAGGTTTGGACAACAAGTCTGAGGATTATCACAGAACTCATATTCACTCGTCACCTCATTACTATTTAAACTATTTTATCAGTTTAACGGGTGCGAATTGGTTAACTGTTTACTTTTGCTTCTCATGTTTCTGTAAGGTGTCATTTATTTTTCAACCCGAACCCGGTAGTGAATTGTTAAAGAGTGACCTGTAATTGTTCTTTGGTCAGTTGGTCTATTGATTTTTGTCTCATTAGTAATCATATTCAACTCCTAGTTTTATTTAATCTTTTCGTTTCTGCATATCTCATGCAATGGCAGAACCTCTCCAATTACTATTTATGTGTTGCGTCAAAATATGATTTGTAACACTTGTAGTGAGAGCAAAGAGAGAACAAATCATTACAAAATGTAGAGAACACCTCGAAAAACCACCAGATTATTTGACATTGCAGCTTATAAAAGGAAACTCAGATTTGAATAGTTTCATTTCAAGATAAAATATGTTAAAGAAAAATAAATTATACAATAAACAGGGAAACACTGTAGTTAATAAATAAAGATATCATTACGTATAAAGATAAGAAGATGTATATTTGCTAATGAGAGACTAAATGACACAGAGATTAACTATAGGTCACTGTACAACATTCAACAATGAGTAAAACGTGACTATTTCTATATTGGCTTTCTTATTTGTCCTCGGCTAGCTACATTGGCCTTCGAAATCGTGAATTGCTTTGTTTCTCGTTTAATTCATTTTACATGTTGTCATTTAAGGGCATTTTATAAGATTTTAACTCCCTCAGGCAAAGTTGGCCTTAGACGGATTTGGCTAATTTTTAGTTCTTTTTTAGTTATATAGCTTTTCAACTGTTTCGGTTTTCTGCTTCCTTGACTTTCAAATATTCGGCTTTGAACGTTCTTGATGAAGGTAAATCGAGAAAAGCGCTTCAGACGCATGAAATTTATAATTTGTTGTTTTCATTTTGATAGCTTGCTATATGTTATGGGATTTACAGATTGTTGACTATGATCTTTACATGCTTCTTTCATTTGATCTGTGAAGGATAGTTGTCTTATAGGAAATCATACCACATCTTTTCTGCTTGTATTTTGTTATGTTTACTAAATTATACTGTGATCAACTGCAGAAGGAGATTTGCATTTGTCCCGTAATAAGTTTTATCCATCAATGTAAAATATAAAATGTAGTTAATATACTATATTTAGAGCCACATGATATGTTTGCAGCGGCAGATGTTAACTCTTCCACATTTAACGCGATATGTTGGCAACGTTGCCAACTATTTAAAAATATTTTGAACGTTATTCAGAGAAAAAAAAAGGCTAATTATGCCATGTGTACGAACTTATTTTACTTTTCTGTTTAAAAAATGCGTCTATGATATCAATTTAAGAATGCTATATGTAACTGATTAAATACTTACATCTGAGAGAAGGTCACTATGCGTTGCAGCAAACAATATTTTTGGCATGACATCATTATCATCCACACAGTAGGTAAGTATTGAATTCACCCAATGTTTCACAATAGCTTAAAGATAAATATGCATACTACAACAATGTCCTTCTTACCCTTTTTTATCTAAGAGATGATTACAAATGCAATTAGCATGTGTTCACCTAACATCTTTATATAAAATCTTACTATTAAGACACTTTAAAACTGTGTATGTAAAACTAATGAAAACATAACGTTTAGCCGCCTTTATTAAATTACAATTGCCAGTTGTAAATCTACCAAGGAAATTATAATAGGACACTTTGGAATATCGAATGAACTGGAAATATATAGGCACCGCTTTTGGGCTATTTGTTGGCGGCCAGTTTTTATTGTTGGAGGAAGCCGGAGTGCCCTGAGAAAGCCACCGGCCTTTGATAGGAAAACTGACAATCCTAGTCAATTAAGATTGGAGTCGAGTGCACCCGCACGAGCAGGGTTCAAACTCACAACCTCAGTGTTGACTGGTTGGTGATTACAGTAGTAACTACTTAGACCACTCGGCCACCGAGGCCCCCAGGGTAGATGGATGTCAAAAGAAAAACAGATGTAATTGTGTTTATGTTTTGCCAAAAATAAATTTAATGTCATGCTACTTAAAGAATGTATATAAAAAAGTCTGGGTATTTCGGATCTTTTTTATTGAGCTATAAGTTCTGTATCAGATTTTGTAAATATTATTCATAATAAAACATTTGTAAAAAGCTCTTTTATGTGATTTGAAAAAAAAACCTAAACGATATATTTTTTTAAAAATAAGATTAAAACACAAAATTAATTGAAACCCTTTGTTATTATAAGGAACTGTCCCAGAATATAACATGGAATGCTTATATGCTGTAACTAAACTATAATAGTATTTCTACTAACCTTGCAATTTTGTAAAATGTATATCGTCTACTAACATCTACTAACAATGATAATGCATTGTATCATACTAATGTAAATGAAACCTGGTGTAAGGTACCGGTATATTATGTGGGTATAAAAAATGTCAACTCTAAATAAAAAAAAAAAAGGATCGCATGAACTTCATTACCTGAGAGCTTATACCGTATACCTCAGTAATACAGCAAACTAACCACGCTTAATCATTTATAGTGACCTATAACTAAATAAGTTTCGTATTGCATATAGTTTGTTTATATAACACGTGGTAATTGTTTCTCAGGTAATGAAACCATTTCTGTCATTAAGGCTGGGGCAGTTTTTTTCGTAAATACAGGAATGACACTGACACTTTGAAATGTGTTGTATTCTAGAAGTATATGATTTCTTTATTAGTTGTTATTGGAGTTTAGTTAGCCTTTAAATAACTGCGATATTTCTTTAAGATCTGTAATTTGTGTCTGTTGTCTGTTAGTTAATTGCTGTTTGTGATTTGTGTCGATCTAAAGGGTGAATCCAATTCTAACTGATTTTTACTGTTTCGTCTGATATTGTGCTTCAACAGTTACTCTCACAGGTAAAAAGGATAGTTTTAGATAAAAAAAAAAACTGTTTAATCTGGCCACATTGTATATGTGACTGTCCCAAATCAGATGCCTGTAGTTCATTGGTTGTGTTTGGTCACTGTATGTCATATTTGGTTTTAGTCTATTGTTCCGATCATACTCCCACGTCATATGCTTTTTCTGAATGAGCAACCCGACGTCAATCGGTGTAAACATAAACGTTGTACGGGAAAATGCAAGGTACGCCAACAGATGTTAAATATGTGGTCAAATTACATAATGAAATGTATTTCTTGTACATATTTGTAAAATGAGATATTCTTCATTGTCATGCGGCTATACTTACAATCATTAGAAATATCCCCCGTAGGGTATTCTGTCAGCGGTTCTTGAAAATCCCTACTGCCATCAAACATCACCACAAATGTTCCGCCGTGCTGAACAAATAACTGATGGGTCATGTCATATGATCGTTGACCACCAAAGTCAACTAAATCTGAAGGTGCAATCTTAATTTTGTATTGACCACTCTTAACTTCTTTTAAAATGTCGTCATGTACTGCATATGCCTCAACTTTTTTTAACTGAGGCAGACTTATTGATGTATCCTTTTTCATTTCAGGTGTGGTTGTCTTTTCATTCTGTATGTGTTTAACTTGTCTAATGTAAGCCTCGGGTGACACAGAAGCTTTTGAACTAAAACTAGTACTTTTCTTTGTAACCTGTAGATTTAGTTTTGGATGATCCGTCAAATATGGCGCGATGCACCGCTCCTGTTTTGTATCAGCGCTTTGGCGTGTAAGTATCTCACGATTTGGCTTTCCGATGATTAACTTCGTCATTACATTATGACCTCTATCTTCTGCAAAATAGAATTATCATTATAAATTTCTCACTGAAAGGAAATTTAGTGATACAGAATAGGATTGTTCTAAAACAATTAAATATGTAATGCTTAACAAACAAATAAAGAGAAACAACAACGGAATGTGTTCCTTAAGGTTATTAGGTAGACTAAATATAAGAACATTTCAGGTAGACAAAACATAAATTACTATTCAACATAGAGGTAGTAAACACTTTTCTTAATACAAAGTACAGGCTTTTAGTATAAGATGTGTCAAGTATGTAAGTGTTATCAAGCCAACTATATACAATGTTTGAGGAACAATGAGAGAGAAAAAGAGAACCAATCAAAAACTATATATCAAGAAAAAACAGACAACACTATTAAAAAAAAAACAAAGACGAACAGTCTACCAAACAGTGCATATAGAAAGCAAATACAAACATTAACTTGACGGTGACCACCACGATATCGAGTTTAATCGTGCTGCATATTTAATATTCTATATAAAAACAACACGTCAATGCAAACAGAAAAAGTATAGAAATATAATTATCAAAAATAAATTATGTTAATGCATTTACAACGTGAGTTGTCTTTTTTTGTAGTAAGATTTTAGAAAATAATGTTCTGGTTGTTAAGAGTTCACTTAGAGTGCCATCATTTGTGAGATCACCAACACCGAGAAGGCCGACGTAAAGATTCAATACTGTTTAAGCTCACCCTACATATGAGAGTTGTAACATTAGTGTAAGTACCGTAACATAATTGAGTAGGCTGATATTTGCAGAAACAATGTAATATTAACGTCCAATATTTTTCAAATAAGATATTTGCTTTGCCTAATAGCATCGTCATCAAATTATAGTGTAGCGAGTATACATGTCTCAATCGCAAGCTAATATGCTAACCAGTACTGCTTTAAATGTATGGAACTATGGAATGAGCGCCAGTGTGACGACTACCAATGAAAACGAAAGGAGCAGGAAGTTTACAATCAAATGTAACTGTATGTAATAACTAGCAATAATTGAGGTTACCGTAACATTAGTCTAAATAAAAGTACTGTACATGACATTATAATGTATTTCTTTTTTCTTTACATTAAGTTAAAATAAAAAAATACCGACTCAATTACAATCAATTAACGAGTAAAAAGCAACTATCTGTGTGCCTATAATTTGTATGTGAGGCGATTGTTTGTAATTCTTCCCGATCTATTAAGTAATTTTCAACTGATTTTTACAGCTTGTTCTTATACTGTGCTGCTAAATTACAGTCCCAGGTTAGGGTGAAGATTGAGCGGTCACAAGCATGTTTAACCCTGCCACATTGTAGATTGTTAAACATTTGAATGCTTTTATGCTGTTGTTTGTAGCCAAATACTTTGATTTTAGGTTTGTAGTAATTTTTTATTGTACCACCAAAGTCAACAAGACTGTGTTTTCAAGAATCCACATATGTATGTTCCTGTCCAAAGTCGAGACTGTAGTTCAGTGGTTGTGGTTGGTTAATGTCTGGTAATTTGTTCTTCAGAAATTGTATTGCTATAAATTAGGTTGTTAATTTTATTGTTTGATTTTTTTTTCAAACTTATCATGTAGGGGCATTATTTAGCTGACTAAACGGCATGGGTCTTTTCATTGCTGAAGGTCGTAGTGAGTCCTATGATTGTTTATATCGACGTCATTTGAACTTTGGTAGATAATGCTCTCATCGACAATCATACCGCATCTCATATTTTTTATTTAGATCCCATTCCGGACATTATAAGAAAAAATGGTGTCTACACTATACCGACATATATAGTATACAATGTCATTTGACATTTTTTGTTCTTTCTGCAGCAGGTTCTACAGCAGCAGCATGCTGGTGGCCACTATTCAATGTTTCCCTTGATCATCTAGAGCACCTGCGATAATGTCCGTTTTTTTGTTGGGGTTCGTATTGCTCAATCTATAGTTATCTATGTTGTGTTTTGTGTACTGTTGTTAAACTTATTGTCGTTTTTTGTTTTTTGCTATTCTTTCTATTTTATGAAAAACTGCACCGCAGGAAACTGCTACGACCGGGCAAACAAGTAAGATTTGGGTATTGGCTTTAAAAAAAATGTAGCCTGCAGTTATGCCGGTCCATTAATGTCGTTAAATAAGCACCCTTTTTCTTGATTGGTCAACCCACTATATCGCATTTACAGTGTGTTTTCGACGTATGGGTTTGAATATCCACAGTCTCTCTTTTATAGTACACTGATTGAACCATGGTTGCTATATAAAAACAACATTCAATGCCCACAACAACAGTTGTATCTTTAGTGACACTCGAGACAAAAAACTTTTCAATGGTTATCTTCAGTTAATATTGTCGAGGGAATTTAATGTTTAATATTTTTATAATATTAATCTCTGCATGTCTTGTTAGTCAACAGGTTGCTATGCATCGTTGAAATTCCTATTTAAATTGAAGTAATATGCTGAAATAAATTAAGATCCTAAAAACGAATGATGTGCATTCGATATCAAACTAAGGAGATGTGGTTTCATTGCCAATATGGCAACTCTCCTTCACAGACCAAAAGGACGATAAGGCTAGCAACTATGGGTCACCCTACGACATTTAACAATGAACAAAACTCATACCGCATATAGCAAGCTATACTGAATTGACTGCAAGCAAATTGTCCAAACAGTACCGAATTTACCGTAGTGGATAAGTTTACTGAAAGA